CAAACATGTCAAGGCTCAAAATAGCTTCCTCCCATTTTGATTCTGTATCGTCTTTCATTTTCAACATTTTATGAGTTCTATCTGTACTGCAAAACTGGTTTAATAATTATTTTGTTGCTTGGTGGGCTTTGTTTCTATATTATTCAATTTAAAGCAAAATAGATGATGTTAAACTGTCCTGTGGACAACTTCATTAGATGGGTCTTCCTCCCCCCCCCCCCCCCCCCCCGATAAACATGCCAAGGATATTCTCATAGAAATATTGAGCCTTCGGAATGATGTTAATCTCCACTCAAGATGCAATTTAATAAAGATCCTCATAAACTCAACTCTTTATGTATGAGAACAGTATAAAAGAGGAGGACATTTGAGGATGCTGATTAATGAAAGCTTGCAATTTAACCATCCTCCATCATTATTCAGTGATCGCACTTAAGTTTTATATTTGTCTTTTTTTCTGGTTCTGCATTATTCCACATGCCCAACCCATATTCACATCTTGGCAAAAGTATCCATGACCCTCCCAAAATATGTAGATTCTAAGCATTCTAAGTAGGTCAAGGTTCCATTATTGTTAAGCCTAAATTGATTCCATTGTTTTCTGCCACAAAATTTTTCAATAGTGATTGGCTAATTTATAATCTTCAAGTGGCTGATAGTAACAGTGTCACTCACCTTTTTTCCATCTTGAAACTATAAAAAAAAGCATGAAACAAAGAATAAATTTACGTGCCCAGTTTTATTGTATCAAGTGTAGCAGAAATTAGAAGAGAATGCAAATGTTTCAAAGTCAAATTCATATGGTGTTTATCTTCCTTCCTCTTTAAATCATTGGGGATAGACTCTTTAAGTTCTAGTAATAAGTAAAGGAAAACTTGTTTATGGCCATTGATTAGCCAAATATAGAATTGCAAAATACAAAAAAGCACCACCAATAATAATATGACAAATGGATAGGTGAGAAATATACCCCTATGTTTTCTGCCAACCCCTGGGCCACAAACTGGTACCAGTCTGCAGCCTGTTAGGAACTGGGCCATGTAAGTGTGTCAGAGGTGGGTTGCTAATTTTTTTTATTATTGGTTCAGACGTGCTCCTGCGCGCACTCCCATGCACATTTGACATTTCTGTGCATGCGCAGAAGCTTCCGGGCAGGTGGGCAGAGCCTCCTGCCGCCGCTACTACCAGTTTGGCCGATCCAGGCTGAACTGGCAGCAACCCACCTCTGATGTGAGTGAAGCTTTATCCCTCGTCACCTCAAGACTGGATTACTGTAACACGCTCTACATGGGGCTGCCCTTGAAGAGTGTTCGAAGACTTCAGTTAGTCCAGAATGCAGCCGCGTGAGCCATTGTGGGGGTACCTAGGTACACCCACGTTACACCTATCCTCCGCGAGCTGCACTGGCTTCCCATTGGTCTCCGGACGCACTTCAAGGTGCTAGTCATTACTTTTAAAGCCCTACATGGTTTAGGACCTGGCTACCTGAGAGACTGCCTCCTGCCATTTACCTCCCAGAGACCTATAAAATCGCACAGATTAGGCCTCCTCCGGATTCCATCTGCCGGTCAATGTCAGCTGGCGACTCCCCGGGGGAGGGCCTTCTCTGTAGCAGCTCCGGCCCTATGGAACGATCTCCCCGTGGAGATCCGGACCCTTACTACTCTCCCGGCCTTCCGCAAAGCGATTAAGACCTGGCTGTTCCAGCAGGCCTGGGGCTGATTTGATTTCATCCAGTCCTATCCTAAGCTACATGAATGTTGTGTAATTTTTAATGTCTGTTCTTTTTAATTTTTATATGTTCCCCCTCCCTGTTTATCTGTAAGCCGCCCTGAGTCTCTCGAGAGTGGGCGGCATACAAATCCTAATAAACAGTAAACAGTAAACACTGTGCCTGCACGGAATCTAGGTAGCATAAGAAATCATTATCCCCACGCAGCCACCGCTAGTCTGAGGAAAAATTGTTTTCCCCAAAACCGGTCCCTGGTACAAAAAAGGTTGGAACCTCTCTCCTAGAGATCTACACATATTCAAAAATGATGTTGGTATTCAGTATTATGTTTGGTTGTTGTTCAACAGGGATATTTAGATGATGGATGGATATATAGAAAGATGGTACCTTCCACTTTTGTATAGACAGTACTATTCTGGAAGGGCAATCTCAGTCTTGATGGCTGTCACCCATCAATACCACATGTTGATGCAGCCCATGCTAGGTAGAAGGTTGTAGTTCAAAATAACTAAAGAGCCAGAATTTGAGAAAGTTCCATGCATAACATTGATGTTCTGATAGGCCAATGATTTGTCTTTGTAAAAATCAGATGCATAAGTTCTTATAATTAGTTTTGAGGTCAAAGTTCTGTTTGCAACCTATTTTGAACAATGCAGCCATGGGGAGGGAAATCCAGTTAATCTGAAAAGGTATATAAGGAAATTCACTTGCCACACGCCCACATATCTCAAAGTAAAGGTTGTACTTCTCAGGAGAGAAAAAAATGCTCTTATTTTAGCAAGTTCAAAGTTCTGACACTCAGTTTGGCAAGTCAGTCCTACAGCTGTTGCAGAAGCAAAAATCAAGAGCAATTTGTACCATTCTGAATTATTTCTTTGGGGAGTAAAGCCATGATAGAAAAGTAATCCTGAATCCATATCAGAAGAGTAAGTTGGATCCAGTACTGAGAGAATAAATTATGGCCAGGGGAAACAATGTTCCCAAGTGTTTAACTGATGTCCACCAACCACATCTGTTCATTTCATATCCTGCGCTAAGCAAGGAATTTTGGGTAACTCTTTAACATTTATATTGACATATTGTTAATTGAAGTTCAACCTAACAGGAGAGGATTTCTGTTCCAGAAGAGAAGGGATGATAGGGAAATTGGAAGTGATCCTACATCCTGTTTTTAATGGTGTTAAGATATTGGCACGATTACAGCTGCACTATTCTCTGATAGCAATGTTGACTAAAATGTATTTTATTCTAATAGTAGATCACAGCCCATAAACTCATTACTTTTACGCAGTCTAAAAGAACAATTCCATAGGAAGTAAGTGATTGTTACTGGTTGAATATACTGTGGCACAAAAACCACTTCCTTTACCTCATTATCCCAAAGGAAAAAAATATTGATGTTATTCAGGGCTGTGCCTTGTTTATCAAGTCTGTGTCTTGTGAAGCTTGAATAAACACATATCAACTCTTTACAGGAAGAAAATGAAATCCCTGCCAGCGTATTTGTGAAAGAACCTGTTCCCAGTATTACTGATGGGAAGGAAGAGCCTGTCGATGAGAACAAAACCTTGGAAGAAACCTTGCACACCGTGGAGTTATCCTCAGAGGATGAGCTGCCCCACGATGACCTTGCAGAAGACAGCATGGATGAGAAAATGGAGGAGACCAGAGCTGAGAAAATCAAGAGATCGAGCCTTAAAAAGGTCGACAGCCTGAAGAAAGCATTTTCCCGCCAAAACTTTGAAAAGAAGATGAACAAGATTGTCTCGCCTGAACGGAGAGAGAAGATCAAGAAGTCTTTTACCCCTAACCATCAGAAGTCTTCTTCATCCAAAAGCTCGTCTTTCAAGGTCTCTCCCCTGACATTCAACGTGAAGAAAGTCCGTGACGGAGACACATCTATAGAAGTAGAAGATAAGCTAGTGGAAGCGACTGGCAGTGAGCACGCAGCCGGTGAAGAGATCCCCTTCACTTCAGATCCAGTCCCTTCTTCTTCTCCAATGGAAGAAGGAAAAGCCTTTGCTGATTCCTTGGAAAAAGAGTCAGGAAGTGAAGGAGAGGTGGTGATCAACAACAACATTGAGCTTGCAATTGTTGAAGAAAATGATGACTATAGAGCTTCGTTAGAAATCAGACAAGAACTTTATGAGGAAAGAAACAAGCCAACCAGTGAAGAAGTTGAATATTCTGAAGAATCCAATCAAGCAGCTGTCCTTCACGTAAACCAAACCGCGTAAATTGCCTGTGTCCTTTCTACGAATGATATTTTTTAATTATATCAGTCACCAGAATATGTCTGGTATGCTATAAATGTGGGGTCTAATAGTGCATCACAGTGGAATTGTTGGTTTTAAAGCGTAGATTTCCTTACAAAAACTGTTCACTCAATTAGAATTGACTCCCACAGTCAAAAGTAGGGCTGTTCTCCAAATAACACAAAAGCAGATTTCTTGGCCGCTTTAACCTCTTTCCATCACCACTTCAAACCTCTTCTTACTTTCTAAATGTTTCTTCACTCTACCTAGAATGGGTTTAAAAGAAGTGTTCAAGACAGTTAGGCCGTTTGATAAAAGGCGTTACCTACACAGTCTCTTTTAAATTGTAGTTAAGAATATAAGCAGTTCCCTGCTAGATTAGATCTCTTTTGCCCCATCTAGTTCAGCCGAATGTCTGGCCAACCTACTTCACAAGGAAGCTCATTTGTCTGTTCGTCTCCCAACAGATTCAGGGAGGTCCCACTGCCATCAATTCTTTGATCCCCAAGACTTTCATGAATTGATCCACCCTTTTTTTTTTTAAGCCAGTACCACATCTCATGGTACTGAATTCCAAAATGTAATTACGGGTTGTGTAAAAAAAAAAAAAGGTCATTCGGTCAATCCTGATTCTTCCAATGTATTCAATTTTGTTCTAGTGTTTTGGGAAGAGGAAAATAGCTTGTCCACTTTATCTATGCCATGCATAATTTCATTGTTAAAGATTTATTGAAGATTTGGATAGATCCATGACCCTCATCCCCATCTGCAATCAGCTCTCAGTGGGGAAGGCATGGCTATTAAATGGTGCAAACATGGTCTTATTTTTTTCAAATACAGATCCCATGTTTTCTTCAATCTAGACTGTGGGCCTGCATTGAAAAGACAGTTTCTCTCACTTTCGGAGGGAACTGTAAAATCCATTACAGTATCCTCTTTGCCTGCTAACTTTCCCCTATTAACTGCTTTTTAAGTTACAATCCAATTATAAGCTAAACTCTTTCGCACCTATGCAATTCATCGCCTTTTCCTAACCTATGGAATCCTCAAAGTTTGTAATTTCCCTTCTTGATGTGCTGTGACTATCCTAGCACAAAGTAAGGGTGAACTTCCTGTCACAAGAGCTGATACTAAAAATGCAGGCGTGAATTACTGAGAAGTACAGCTTTTGACAGTATACTTATACACATTATGTGCAGATGCACTGGAAAAGATATTTTTAGCATATACAATTGATTTGAGAAACAAATTACTGTGAGGAGGCTGCACCTCAACAAAAATGAAAATGGGATTTTTGCTTCCTTATCGCTGTTCGGTCCCTTAGTTAATTAATAACTGTTGATACAGAACAATTAGGCAGTTGAGTTTTCTGTCTCATAGTGCCTGCATCATTTTGTTTTATTGATGTTGAGAATATTCCTTCATCCACCAGCTCCTTGCAAAACGAGCTTTATTTTTGTTTTGTCCTTTCAAATAAAAGGAAATCAAGTTCTTGTGAAACTACAGGTAATCCCCGAGTTACAACAGTTCATTAATGACCATCCAAAGTTACAACAACTTTGAAAAAAGTGACTTATGACCGTGTTTCACACTTCCAATCATTGCAGGATCCCCGTGATCAAAATTCAAATGCCTTGCGACTGATTCTTAGTTATGACGGTTGCCATGTCCTGGGGTCATGTGACCACTCTTTGCAACCTTCTGACGAGCAAAGTCAATGGGGAAGCCAGATTCACCTACCAGCAACTGTGGTACCAACTTAACAACTGCAGTGAATCACTTAACAATTGTGGCAAGAAAGGTGTTCAGTAGGGCAAAACTCACTTAACAACTCTCGTTTAGCAACTTAAATTTTGGGTTCAATGATGGTCGTAGGTCGAGGACTATCTGTACCATACAGTCGTATAGCTTATGTTCTGAAGTCAATCATATCAAGTCTTTTTGGATTTACTTTCAGATGACTACATGTAGGATTACTGTCATAGTGTAGTAATGAAGTAATAGTAGTAATCAAAGGTAATATATGTTAAGATCTATTGTAGATTTTTTTTCACCATGTGTACCTTCCAATCATGGAACAGCATTCACCCCCCTCCCACACACACACACACAATTGGTGGAGCGATAAGATACATGTCTAGACATAAAACTATGAGATCAGTAAGATGCATATTTTGTCTTAGTGTCTAGATTGAAAATAACATGGTATGATTAGGGAGTGTCTGCGCACTGCAGAAACTGATGGTCTACAACTCTCATTAGACCCATCCAGAATAGTCAGTGATCGGGGTTGATGGGAGAATACCTTCTTTGTTCTCCCCAACTGACATAGGGCAAAATATGTTGAGGAACACACACAGGCAAATAGGATCTCTGACTTCCTTATCTAGTTCCAACATAATATTCAAAGCAAGGAGGGAGTACTATTCTTTCCTAGCCGAGAAAGTTGCATGTACTATTTTGCTCATGTGCCAAGACTGGCATGCCGCGTGAGCAAAATAGCAAAGAGCATTCCTCCTTCCACACATACACCCCTATGGCCCAGGTCAGGTTGCATCATATCCTAAGTCAGCAAAGATATTCTGACACAAAAGAATCCCCTCATGTAGTTCTCCACAACCTTGGCAAGTTGCTTCCATTTCAGGAAAGACCAGATTTGCTTCCTGAGGCAGACATGCCATCTCTTGAAAGGCCGGACTGTTCCTGTGAGGTGACATGTTGCTTCACAACTATTACGGAAGGCCACATAGGTGATCGGTGGGGTAGCAGATCAAGCAAACTTATAATGGAATGTCTGTACAGCTGCTTAGGATAAGTTGCTTGTTTCTATTCCATACAGCCTTAAGTTGATCATTAATGTATATAGATATATATGTTTTATGTTAGAGTTATTTTAAGAGAGAATACATTTAAAAGAATAAAGAAAATATTATTTGCTTAATAAAAACAATTATTGTTTTAAATGGCCAAAGGGAGATATAGGGTTATATATATATAATCTAAGTAGTTCATAGAAATAGATTATCAAATAGTGATCTATGCACCAAACTACTGTATTTAAGAGTGTAGGGTGAGAGATGGCATCTTGGCATAGTGCAAGATGATCAAATGAAAGTTCAAAGAATATATAATAAAATAAGAGAGGGGCTAGGATAGTAAGATACGTACATAAGTAGCCCAAATATATTATCCAGGGAAAATATATTTTTATTCTGGGTCTGCACAATGTTAAAGAGAAAACTGTTTTGAAAAGTATATCCAGGTAAGCATATTTTACAACAACAACAAAAAAACATCACAGTTCCCATCAGCAGTATGAATCTTATCTTCCTTGTTTGCTATGGGTGTTTAAGTGTGCTTAGCCACACAGATCAATGCCCAAATGTGGAATATATATATATATATATATAGATCACCTAGGAATTGTCCAAGAGTATGAAATAATCCTACTGAATATTGACAGTGTCCATCAGACTATGATTTTAATAATCTCTCTTTTATTTTTAACATTCATCAGATGCACAAAGGATTATTAACATCACCTGGTCATTTCTGTGTGATTTGAATGTTCCATGTAATGTGTAGAATACGTGCTTGGATTAGACATATGAGAACAGTTCTAAAAGTGGAACACATTATTCCATTTTTAGCTGGTGATGTCAGATGATTTGATGCCATGTTGGAATTTTTGTTTGAGATTTTTAAAAAATACTGACTTGAGTGATAAAAGGCAAGGAATGCAATTCTGAATGGATTTCTTCTGTGTAAAACAAATATCAGCTCTGCCTGTGGGCAGTTATGTTTAATTTCAGGAGGGTTTTGTACATGGAAATTTCCTACTGAACAGGATGGGGATGTTGCATCCACCACCTTGAGCACCCTGTAATACATAGTAAATTTCACAGCCATGTAGAAGCTGGAATTTCTGCATATGAGAGGCATTTTTGTGACCAAACTATTCAGAAGTGAATGTGCATTCCTACAGCATGTATTCATTCTATTTGAATTCTTCATTCCTCTTAATCAGAAGTGTAATCCAGCAATATATAAATGCTTGACAATCTTATATCAATATATATACACATATACAGTATATAATTCCCCTTTTAATATACTTAACTTTTGCATAAATTGCACTAGAAATTTGAGGGTTCCCCCCCCCCAATATATTTAACACTGCAATTTTGTTTCAAAAAGTTTTTTAAGAGGCTATATGTTAGTAAACAATTCTAGATGGAGTATCTCATACAGTCATTTAATGTGTCTCTGGATGTTGATCAGAGTTTATTTCCAAGGAAGATTTTTTGACAGTTAAACTTTTTTTTAAATAATTACAATGTTATGAGAGAGTTACAATCAATAGAAATAACTGCAATATAATCACACATTTGCCTTCATTTGATTTAATATCAGTGCCTGTTACTAACTACAGATGTGTTCAGCTAAATAAAAAGTAAACTGAGTCACATTGTATTTGTCTGAACAAAATTATTGCAAAACAAGAGAAGAAAAACACCCATTGCAAAATTAGACATTAAACACATTTTTGCTTTCTATGCTGTTTTTAAAAACAACAACATGCAAATAACATCAGCTTTGGTTGTCAAGACAACCCCAATTTCTTCGGGATTTTGAGGTGTCTAGTGTGCTGCTGTTTTCCAGATGCATATTTTATTCTGAGATTTATCATTTTCATTCAAGCTTCTCCGGATTTGTAGAGTGTCAAAAGCACATGAATGGAAAGTGACATTATATACTTTAAAAAAAAAAAACCTGTTGATAAGGTGTCTTGTGCAAAGCTCTTAAGCAAACTGAGCAATCAGGGAACAAAATTGTCAGCCTTTTATAAATAGCTGATTGGTTAAACAAAAAGCAAAGAGTGAGAATAAATGAGCAATTTTGTCAATGGAAGGAAGGAAGAAGTGGAGTCCCTCAGGAACCTGTGTTAGGGATCTTTAAAATTATCTTGCTTTGAAAGCAAGCAGTGAGCTAGCCAAGTTTGTGGTCAATGCCAAATGAATCAAGAATAGTTTTTAAAAAATATTGTGAAGAGCTCCTGAAGAATTTTTGAACTGGAGGCCTGGTCAATTTGGCAATTTTTGAAAAGATGCACAGTGGAGAGAGAAAAAAGCCCCCTTCTTTCACATATCTACTGATGGGGTCTGAGTTACTTTTTAACATCTCGGGAAGTATTTTGTAGAGAGGCCAGTGAAGATGTTTACTAAGAGGGCTGATTTGCAAAACTGGCTTGTCATGGTGTTTGTATAGGCTGCAAGTATTTTTCAAAAGTGGCAGACGTCACATTGTCCAGACAACATCACTATAGACAAAAGTAAAGCACAGGGTTGAACTTCAGACAGAGATTTCTTAATTCTTAAGGGATATCCAATGCAGTCAGCTGACAAATTCCATGCTCTGCAAATTCCATGCTAAGAAATACTAGGAAATGGATTGATCCAACAGAGTAGGCATGCTTCTGATCTCCTCTATGAAACAGTGTCATTTTAAGGTACCTTCTCTATTGCAGTGGTTCCCCAATGGAACAGCATTCTCCCTCCCACCCACCCACCCCCCCCAGAATGATCTTGACACTGGCTAACCTTTTACAAAGCTTTGAAAACCTGGCTCTTTCTCCAAGCATTGGGCCAAAATGTTAGTCTGTTCCATCAAGTTAGGAGAATGATTGTGATGTCCTCTGGGGTATTACATTTCCCATCTGGGTATTTTTGTATTTGTTTTTAATTCAGTGTTAGCCATCGAGAATCCCCAATGTGAGTGGCTGGAGAGGAGGGGAAGGAGAAAAATTTCCAATATCTGGAATATTCTGATCCAAATTTCCATACCTTTAATGCCGCATACAGTTCTAGTTGTCATATTTGAAGAAAACGTAATGGAACTGGAAAATGTGTATAAAAAGACAAAGCAATTGGCTGGCTCAAACCCTTTTATGAAAAAAAGGCCAGAATATTTGGAACCTTTTAGCTTAGAAAAGACATCTGAGAATTAGATATGATTAGGGATCATAGAATCATGAGTGGTATAGAGTAAATGGATTAATGAAGAAATATTTATCCTTATTTCAAAACTTCAGAACTAGTTATCGTCTAAGGGAACTTACAGAGAATGAGATAAAAAATACTTCATATGATGTCTAATTGATCTATGGAATTCGAATATAAGGAGGGAGACAGGAAAGGAGGGAGGGAAGAGAAGGGAGGGAGGAAGGAGTCAGAAGAATGACTTTTAGACAAAAAAATAACAGAGGAGGTGCACTGTCAATTTTGTCTTTAAAGTTTCCTTAAGGGGTTTTTCTCAAGATATTTAAAAGATTAATGGGGAAAATAAGGCAAGTAAATGAGTTAAGCTTCCTCTAATTCAGTGTTTCTCAACCTTGGCAACTTGAAGATGTCTGGACTTCAACTCCCAGAATTCCCCAGCCAGCATT